GGACCCTACCTTGATATTTCGGGATCCCACTTTGGGTCCCCACCCCAACTTTGGGAAACACTACTTTAATCCATGCGGACATTCCCCTTTGACATCACTTCCTGGTACTTAAAATGCAAATATCTCAATAAATGTTTATCTCAGCAGCAGGATTTTATTTTTGGGACATGTTATTGATGTTATCTTTCCAATAATGTATTTTTATTTATTTAAAACATTTCACGTCACAGGCACTTTGAATCACTGAATCAGGTGTTTCGGAGCAGAAAAACAACATCCAGGGTAGTGGCTCTTGGGGTTCGGAAGCCCCTGGTCGTTGCATAAACTAGTGAATTGCAGCATCAAAAGAACATCTTAGAAATGAAAAAAAAATGCAGACAGCCTAAGAAAGAAACTGGTCGCCTCTTTTTAAATTCAGCAGCTTTATAATGTTCTAAATTGTCTGGCTCCTCTCTGAAGAACATAAAGGAAAATACACTTTATGGAGGTGAAAGTGCTTCATGCAGAATGTTGTCCTACGCATTTAGAGCTGCTGCTAAGACAGAAACAAAGAGGAGCAATAAAGGTGAGTCCGGATCGTAGAGGTGAAAACTGCGCTCACTTACTGTAGGATCCATCTCACCAGAAGGATGAGTAAAGCAGATGGACGAGGGCTCAGCTTTCACTTTGTTGCTGCCCTGCAGACGCTGCAGTATTGAACAGATGCTGATACGACACTGAAAATCTCAGCAGTGGCCGAGCCGAACTGAAAACAGAGATAGCATCAGCACTGAGACTTTTATGCCTGGATGACAGGGTTTACACAGATTTATTACAAAAATAAAGGCATTGCAGTGAGGAATGCATATCGCCCACCAACTTAAGTGCTGGAGTTTAAAACTAAAATCATTTTTATTAAACCTCTGTGCAGAATATAACTGTTATTACCACATCTAATTTTAGCTCATCTGTGAGTTTGCTTAGCTAAACTGGATTAACTCTTAAAGGTAACGCTGCAAATGTGTTAAAAAAATTTGTTAATTCTGTCCAATGGTTCAGGAGATATTTTAGTAACCACCACATAAAAACACCAGTAATGTTTAAAGTATCTCAAAGTGATACTTGAGTAAAAGTACAAGTGTTTTATCATGAAATTACTTTGGTAAAAGTTAAAGTCTCCTCCAAGAATATTACTTAAGAAAAAGTTTTAAAGTATCTGAT